TACATGGCCAGTATGACGACAGCTTTCTTCCTGTGCCCTAATTCTCCTCTCCTCTCCTACAAAATCAGGCTAACAAGTGCTCTCTGGATCTCTGTTTGCTTTTACTATGTAAATTTTTCAGTCCATAAAGATCAGCGTGTAGCTATAGTGGGTATCCTCAAAACATCATTTTGATTCCTGTACACTTCTTACACACACACACAATATCTATCTCCAGGCAAAGGATGTGGCTCAGTGGTGCAGCACCCTCCTGGCAAGCCTGAGGCCCTGAGTTTGATTCCTAGTACCAAAAAAGAAAATAGTGGGGGGGGGATAGAAAAAATCCCCTTTAAAAATATCTATCTCCCTCTCACTCTGCTTTTACAGCAATGATTTCTTCCTACCTCTATTTCTCACCATTCCTTCACTAAAGCAACACAGAAGACCTTTACTAAAAATTCTCTGCTCTAAGTGATGCAGGAATGAATTACTTACTATGTTGGTTCATTGTCAATTAAGTTAGTGCAGTAATAAATAGTATGAATTATGGAACCACCTGAGCTTGAATTCTAGGTATCTCAGGGACTAGTTCAAAATTTGGGCAAATGATTCTCTCTGTTCCTCAGTTTAATTATCTACAAAATGAGAACAATTATAATATATATCCCACAGGTATTGCAGTTATTGAATGAATATGGTTAGATGTTAGTGGATAGACAGATAATAAGTATATATGTAGGTAGATAGATAGATAGATAGATAGATAGATAGATAGATAGATGAAAAGAATAAAAGAGTTGCCCATAACATTTGGAAATTTACTTGTAATTGATAACCAAATCATGTTATTTTTCTACAGGACATAAAAATAATTCAAAGAGCACTAACATCAAATAAGATAATTCTAATTCCATGCTAAAGTAAGACAAAGAAAAACTACATCCTAATTTTGCTTAATAACAAATAAAATTTGCAAATAAAATACACCAAACACCTATTTTTTGAGTGATGGATACCTATTAAGTGATTAGAGCTCTATCTCAATTTCCATTTTTTTTTTTTTTTTTTTTTTTTTTTTTTTTTTTTTTTTAATTTTTATTTAAGGAGAAAAGAAAAGAAAAAAAAAACAGTGAAGGGTACAAGTTATACAGATTTACAGAAGAAAAAAATGCGCAGTAGGAAATCACTAGTTAATAGATTACATATTGCCATCTTAGAAATAATTGTTCAAGTCACAGAATTAAAGTTTGTAGAGTGGACATTCCAGCAATGATACTGCAAACAGTTCTGTTCAATGATCCATTAGAACTCTGTGATATCATTTTCTGTCTTATACATTTAAATATACATGCAGTTATATAGTTTAGAGCATTTTCTTTTCCTCTCTTTTGTACAGTGACTATTACACATTTTGGGTTTCATTGCTCCCACTGTTCTTATTGCTTTTTTGGAAGAGAGTAAAACCAAATGTGACATAACAGAACAGAATCGGTCAAGTCAAAAGGGTGGATATAATAGATAATATAAAAACATAATACAAGGTGATCAACAATGGTTACCCTAATGCCTCCCACTATTTCTAATAGAATTGCCTATATTATTAGTTGTAATACTATTGAACAAAACCGTAAAGGATAAAACCGACAAAACCAAAACATTGGAGATATTGTAGGTCTTCAAAAGTAGATAGAAGTCAACGAGAATGGGCGTTATAATGAATCTCATTATCTTCTCAGCTGATGCCTAAACTTTCGAGCCTGATACTATTCAGCAAAACAGAATAGAGGAACCTCAGTCAAAAACAAGATGGTGAGAGTAATACAGGGCTTCAAATCGAGAAAATAGAAAGTCAAAGTGGGTTACTATATTGTATCCTGCTATATTTTTCCCTTTAATTAAATGGATAATAATAAAAAAGTATATAATGGAGTGGAGATTGAGAAAAAGAAAAAGAGGGCATAACAGCGAAACAGGGCAGATCAAAACATAACCTTTTAAGCAGAATAGTGTTTCACCACCAGATATTTCCGACTTAAAAATAGTTACCATATTGACTCCCTCCCTGAAGTCCTTGAGTACAACTTCATATACTGTAGCATTAAGTATATCAAAACAATGTAAAACCATTTAAGAGAATGACAGCATTATAGAGTATTTGGAATTGACTAACAGAAAATGAACAATGGTCTCTGTATAATCTCCTTGTCTTTAAAAGGTTTTTGCTTATACTAACGTACATAACAAAATCCAATAAGATACAACCTGGTTAGACCATTGGAGACAGAAGAACAAAAGCTAGATGAGACTTCAAAACAAGATGGTACTGAATCAGCATTACCTATTAAGATGTCATTTTCTCAAAAATAGCTGTTCCTATCATCCAATCTTCTCTGTCTCATTTCTGTTGAGCTCTTTTTCTGTCAGTAGCTGTCAGTTTGTCTTCTTCATTTTGTTCTCTGCTCCATTTGTTGTGGCCTCCCTGCCACTATTTCTGGGTTCTTTGTATTTTTCTTTTTTTAGAATATCCTGCAATACTTTCTGTAGAGTTGAATTGGTGGTTGCAAATTCCCCCAGTTCCTCTTTATCCTGGAAGCACCTCGTTTTTCCATCAATTTCCAGGGACAGTTGTGCAGGATATCTCAATCTTGGCTGGAAATTATTATCTTTCAAAGCTTGAATTATTTCCCCCCAAGCTCTTCGTGATTTGATGGTTTGTGAAGAGAAATCTGCTGTAATTCTGATGGGTGTTCCTTTGTAAGTGATCCGTTTCTTGTCTCTTACAGCTTTTAATATTCTGTTCTTGTATTGAATTTCTGGGATTTTTATTATTATATGCCTGGGTGTTTCTCTGTTAGGGTTGTAGGTAGCTGGGGTCCTGTATGCCTCATACAGCTGAGTATCTTTCCCTTTTGCTAAATTAGGAAAATTCTCCTGGATTATTTCTGTGAGTAGCTTTTGTAATTCACTTGTTTGTGTCCCTACTTCTTCTTCTATGTTCTTAATCCTTAAGTGGTGGCTCCTCTTATCATCTTCTTGTCTTTGTATTATTGCTGTTTGTTTCTTTGTTATTTTTAAGAAGTTTTTCATTTCATTCTCCCATATTTCAAGTCTGCCCTCCAGTTCAGATAGTCTGTCCTTAGTTTCTTTTAAGCTGTTATGCCAGTCTTGTATAGATTTATTAATTTCTTGATAGTCCCTTTGAACCTGCTTCACATACTCAATGCTTTCTCTGTTTTCTCCATCAAGCAATTCTCCCCTCTTTTTCTGTTCTTCCATTCCACCATCTGTTTTTTCCTGGGTGGTGTTTAGCATTTCTCTAACTATTCTGCATACTTCTAGCTTCAGATCATTGATAACTTCATTCCTGAATTGGTCTATGAGGCTCTCAATATGGTGCTTAATGTATGCTGGTGCGGCGTCCATTATTGCCTGTTTCTCAGGATTGGGGGCCGCGGAGCTTTTTTTGTTGCTTCCCTTCCCCATATTTTTTGTTCCTTATAAAATGCAATCTTACAAAGGAGGCCCGGCTTCCCTGCCTGTCAGCCACAGCCTGATCAAATTGCGCTGGCTAGTTGTTCCCGCCCACCGCTGCGCACCAGGGAGTCGGAGGAGGCAGCCTACGCGGAAGTCAGTCGCTCTTCCGGGCCATCGTCCGGCTCTGGGATCTGGGTTAGGCTAGTCTAGCCTAGAGAGTCCGCCAGCAGCGTCACTTAGGCCAGGTACTTTTCTCCAATCCCGTCCGAGAGGGGAATGGCGCCCAGGGAGATCTCCGCCAGAGTCAAACTGTGGTGGGGGGTGAGATTCTCACTCACCTCGCCACCAGTCAGTTTTCGTGTACACCTCTGTCCGTCCTTTTTTTTTTTTTTTCGACTCCGTTCTCCCGTTCCCAGAGCTCGGCGCTCCCAGAGCTCGGCGCGTCTCTCCTTGCTGAGCCGCTGTGGAGATAGCCGGCCGCCGCACGGCGGGAAATCCAAACCGGTTTCCAATGGCGCGGAGTCGAGCCTCCACACCGAGATTTTTCTGTTCCTATTTTAGCGCCAGGACTGTATCCCAAGTTGGATTCTTTCAGCCCAGTTCGTTCCTGAGTCAGCAGAGCATATCTCTACTGATTCGTGTCTCCCTAGTCCGCATTATTTCTGGCCTCTGAGCCGAACCTTTCAGAGAGCCTCTGGTAGTTGCTGTTGTCTGTCCGCCATGTTCTCTGTCTGACTCTCAATTTCCATTTTTTTAGGATAAGGTTTAATGAGATACTTAGTCATAAAATTTTCTTGATTTTTTTTCTGACATTCAAGATAAAGCAACTTCCTCCTTTGTTTTTTACAATTAAATCCTGTATTCTTTCTTAGATTATTTGCAACATCCTATTACTGAGATGCCCCAGAGTTCTCCATGATATATGTTATCCTTTGCAATAGTAATGTACCCAAATTTCTGGTCTTCTTTTATTCCTGTAGTCTCTGCCTGAAAGACTCTGATGGTAGACAAATAATATGTACACACATATATAAATGTACAAATAGAATAGCATCTAACACATAGTAAGTACTTGAAAATCTTTCCTATTATTATTATTATATACAATTTGAGAGTATTAAATACAGGAATGGAAAATTATATGAAATGTAAAAACCAAAGAAGATATCTAGAAGATCAAGCTTCTCAATCTAATAAAAATTAAATATATACGTAAAGCAGGAAGGCAAGCCTTAGAAAATGAGATGCTGTATGATACAGAACTCATTGAGACGTGGTCAGTACACTAGGGAAAACCAAAGCACTAACATAAGGCCTGCAAAAATTTAAAAGATAAGTGTATTAAAAGCAAAAACACGACTAGCACATAACACAAGATTCAAAACTTTAACTATTGTTTCACCATCTCCATCAAAGGCTCAGAATCCCTCAGGAGTAAGATGAAGCTTACTGTTCATTTACCCACAGTGAGTCCACAAAGGATAAGAACACTGCTTGCACATAGAAAAAGAACCTGACAAACACACTGAGGTTCCACATTCTGAAAGCTCTTAGCATTTTTGTCTGTAGCTGGAAAGCACAAATTTGTTTTTGGACAGCAATCATCTCACTGTCATTTGGCATTCGTAGTATGGTCCCCTGGCAGTCATTTGCAGTGTAAATTCGAGTCACATCCCTGCAGTTTTGCTATCACTCTTACTATAAAGTCACCTTGCAGGTTTCCTCTACTATGTTGTGATTATTTTTCAACTTTATTGCTATGCTGATTTGTTTACCATATGCTTATTGATGAATTTTGCTCTTAACCCAGAGGTCTTTCTTCAGTGACTGGTAATAAGATCAGGAATCTTTACAGGACAAACCCGAGGAGCCTGAAGGAACCACAGGTAAAGCTAATGGGGATGCAGCTCTCATTGTTCATTCTCTAGTTTCTGTTCCAGGTACTTATCAATTTATTTCACTGATAAGAGTAGCAAGCTCACAACAGAGTCATGGAGAGTGAAAAACAATGTGTCCGTGTCTATTATTTATTCATGCACCAGTCACATGGATGAAAAATGCTGCCCATTAACACCAGAACAGCAATCTTTTATAATTGTGCCATTGCGTTCTTTACTGTTCACCCCATAGTGTGATACATGCAGAAAACAAATGGTAGTTTCATAATTAGTTATTAGTAACTCGCCCCCTGGAGCAGGGTGTGGGAATCAGAATGAATATCTTCTGACTGCTAGTGACTATATTGTTGGGATGAAATAAACACACTGAAATTCAGCGCAAATTATCTACACGAGTGAATATATCCTATTTATAAATAATCATGACTAGATTGCCATGGTTTACATCCTATGTAATTTTAACTTTAGGAATAATTCTAACAATCATATTAAGGGAATATTAAGCAAAGATATTTAAATGCCTCATGTTTTATTTCTCTCCAAAAACAGAACATTCACTGTTAATATTTTTAGTGTATCTAAGTCTTCTTTAAATCGGAAAGGTTTGGTATAAACATACACACACATACATATAGTTGTGTTCACACTATCACATTACATATATTTTTTTTTAAAAGAAAAAACTCCAACCTGGCATATTTTAGCCCTGTCTTCCTCATGAGCTGGTCAGATTTTCCAAGTATTTGACTAAATTCTGTCTAGATATAGATATAGATATAGATATAGATATAGATATAGAGACACATATAAGCCCACATATGTGTGTGTCGCTCTCTGCACAAATTATTCTTGCAATATAAATAATACAATATAACTGTTATCCTTTTAATATTACATTATATTCCATAAGCCCAGGTACCCTGTTTTTAAAAGTAAATATCATCCTCATACCCTATTTGATAAAAGGCATTATTCAAAACAAGCAGGGTCAGCGATCATTCACATAATTGCCTACTCAGCAGTGACTATTTCTGTTGCAAAATTTGGCACTTTGTGTATTCACAGCACTTAAAGAAGAAAAGCTCTGAGTAACTCTCTGCATGAGTAGGCACTCGTTCAACCTGAGGAGCTCCGCTGAGTCACACTTGAAGAATCACCTGTATCAGAAAAGTATAGATTGTAACATGGGACAACGGTACCAAAAACAGAGACCATGAAGAACAAGGTAAAAATGAAAAATAATTTCTCAAAAAAATCCAACAGGCCAAAAGATCATTTTAGCTTCTCACATATGTGCATGAATAGAAAAGTTCATGTATAATAAGCAGACAATTAGAACAAGTAAAGGCAGCCTTGTCATTTATAATTGAGCAAGGTCAACGTGATTAAGTCTTTTCCATTATTTATAAGTTTGTATGTAATTACTGTAAGTTCTAAGATATTTCTATATTACATTATAATTATTGACAATGTTATTTTAGTTCCTCATAATCCATGCATCTGTTTTCCCCAAAAATTTCACTCATTAAAATAAAAATAAACACAGTATGCTTTGACATTAATCAAGAGAAAGAGCAAACTAATTTTTGGCATACTGAAATTATTTTAAAAGAACATAATACAATGAAAAGTGTAGTTTCATTCTCTACCCCTTAAAATTTTTAAAACTTTAGATCACACTTTTGGCCTGTATCTTTCTTGAAAAGACTCTTTTGGTGGCCACTGATCATTAACACACAGGTGCTCTGATTGATTCTGATGCTTGTGGTTGAATTAGTCAATTGATAAATTAGTGATATGCTTGAAACACAGGAGTGAGCAATGAGGAAGCTCTCTCCACTAAATTTTTGTGACTAACATTCCCACATTGCTGGAAGAGTGAGCATATGCCATCTGTTTCAGATGCATAAAAATTCAATTAAACTATCAGCTGTCAGGATCACTGTAGGGTAAATATCAACATAGGAAAGTATGTAATAATTATACTGTGAATTCTTAACCAGAGGTAAAAATCATATTCTGCATCACTCATACTGATGGACTCATTCTCTAAAAAAGCTAAAAAAAAAATTATTTTAAATATTGCACTCCCTTGAAATCCCTTTATTTGTTATTAGTTTTTGTCACATATAATACAATTTAATAAATTAAAATATAAATTTCAGTAAAATAAGATCAGAAATTGGGGTGAAAGGCAGGAGATTAAATTGGAAGACAGAGTAAAAGTGCTGAAATTCCATTCTAAAGGATAAGAAGGAAGTTGAATCAAAGTTTTACTGCATTAGTCAGGAATGGTAGTGCCCAGAAGGCTGGGCAGGAGTGATCTCTGCAAGTTCCCGAACAGCCTGGGCTACGCTGCGAGACCCTGTCTGAAAAACGAAAATTTTGTTACCTTGAAATTGTATTCCCATGCTCTCTGACTATGAAGTAGATAAGATATGCTGTGCACGTTAGGGACACAGTCATGTCATAGAAACTGTCAGTTCTACTACGAGAGAATCTACTCAAGAAGAGCTCCAGCCAGCTGGACCATGGAAAAGGCTAGTATCTGAGTGATCATCATATCTGAAATTTTACTTATTAGCGCTCAACTTAAAAGTGTTAAAAAGAGGTCATCTAGCATTTTTTATTTCAATTATAAATGTAATCATAGTCATAGAGGCATGGAGCAATACTGGAAGGAGGGAATTTTAATAAAATAAAGTAGCACATGCCAGCTTCCCTTGTGACAGAGAAGTTGGCACCCTTATGGAATATGTCAAGTAAGGTCTTTGCTCTCAAGTCTCAGGCATCATGTCATTTCATCTGTCTGATCTACAGTACTTATGAAATCTACATTTATTATTAATTGATGTTCAGAATTGATTAGTGTCTTGTTAAGGAAATGTCTAACAGTTAATTGCGGAGAAAAACTAAAATTCATGAAAAGTGTCAATGCAAGCCTCAACCTGATAAATGTTATTCAGTATTAATCTAACAATAAAATAATGAGTCTCACTGCTGAAATTTATGCTACATGTTCAATATTCCAGCCACACATCATTCAACCACAAATACTCATGCAAACCTCTAAGATTTGGTTCATGCCAGCTGCTGGTTCTATTGTCAGACCTTGCCACAGGCTGTTGGTTAGCCTGGTAACTCCTATCTTGTTTTAATATCTGGTTCATATGTGTTACAGATAATTGGTACCTCTTCTATATTTTGATAGTACTTTCACATGCCAAATCACATCCCTTTGTGTAATTTATCCTGACAGATCTATGTACCCATGTGCTTTTTTGATTATGAATTTCATTAGAAAAGAAACCTTGATAAAAAGATAGATCAATTCCTGTAACAAAGTGTTTAATACAGACACCTTAACTTCTCTGACTTTTAATTAAGAGAGGAATTGCATTGATGAAAAGGACTTAATACTTCTGTTTTCTTATAGAGATCCTTTTCTTAAAAATGAAGAAAGCAAGCTCCCATTCTAGTAAGGAATAGAAGTATCAGAACAGCTCATTAAGCACACTGGGTACACATGGTAGAGAGGACACATTAATACTGACAGGGACACTCATGAATTTTCTTGGTTTCAAGGACCCTGTGCAATGTAAATGAGAACCGCAGACTAACTCTAGAGCATTCATTCTGGGCGGCTAAGTAGAGCTAGTTACCTGTAGGACTAATGTGGGAATGAAGTCCCAGTTCTGGGTTAAATGTAATCCTCCCACTTTGTAATCATGGCCCACAGGATTCACTATCAAAATAAGAAAATGTCTATTTCAGAACTTCTGCAACCCAAAAGGAATCTCATAATTGTTTCCCATTCCTTTAAAAGTCCCCGTTATCTTCTTCAGGTGCAAGAAGTGAAAAATAATCTTTTATTAAATGTATGGAGCATTAAACTTGATGACATAACACCAAACAGCACAGTTGTTGGAATAGAATGATGCATAAACTAGAGGAAATGAGAAATCCATAATCTTTTTTTATTTTAAAAATGAAAAAAGAATAAAACAATAGAGAATTTCAAAACAAAATAAGAAATTAACACTGGTTAACATATTGCATATTGTTATCTTCAAGGTAGTTGTTCATATTACAGATTTTTAAAAATTGCCATTTTCTTTCCTGTGTATACAGTCCTGGAATATCTCATTTAAAATAAGACCTCATAGTCCGTAAGTTTACAGGTGGGTTGCCGCACTCATAGCAATCGTGAAATTTCCTATGTGTCTTTATGGCCGTGAAGAAACCGTGTTTGCTCATTACTAGGAATCTTTTGTTGTTTAGGGAAAAGTGATCAGGGACAAGGATCATTCTGAACAGGTTCAGAAACTCTCATAAATATGTGATGTACAGATTTATAGAATTTTATTCACAGTCTATAGTTCCTTCCTCCAGTCTCCCTTAGAATCCACTCGTGCTCTCACACTGCTCTCCCCATGCTTTTCAAAGTCACCAGTGATAGTCCAGGGCTCAAGTGCTGTTCCTCTTCCTTTTCACATCCATAATCACTGGCTTGATAATCTTACCTACCTAGAGATTTGCATGCAAATGAGCGTGTACTTCTTTCCCAAATTCCAAATGCATCCGCCCCCTGCCCTCTCAAATTTCCACTTGCATATCTAGTAAACATCTCAAGCTTAACATGTCTATAGCTGATTTTTTTCTGATCTTTACCCCCAAAACACACTTTAGCTTTAATATTCTCTCACCTTGTTGATAGTAACACCATGTAGTTAGTTATTCAGGTCAGAAATTACAAAAATCTTTAATTTCTTTATCTTGCTCCTATATCAAATTCAGCTCATTCTTTTGACATTACTTTCAAAATGTAAATGCACAAAACCAACTATTCTGGACACATCTATAGAAAAGAAACACAGTTTACATTATTGAAATAAGATCTCAATCTTATTTTATGCCTATTATCACATTATTTCTATACCATGTAATGAACCACCTATAAACAATCTGCATGTTCTATCTGAAACAACTGTCTTTTAGTTAATTCTTTGGACATACTAACCAAAAGAGAATTAAGCTTATTTTGATGTAGATTTATTTTTTCCTAAATATCTTTCTTCATCAATGTTACTGTCTCCAATTCATTATTAGAAATATTTTGCCATGTGGCACTCTAGAGAGGTTATTAATACAATTTATTCAACTTATGTGAAGATAATCAAGGACATATCACTTTTAGCTTAGTATGCTTGCATGGTAAATAGTAGAAATAAAATCATTCATATGTTACCATTGCTGAATACTCAAATATTTCTCCTTTCTCTCTTTCCACTGAATGAATAAAGTACATATGTGTATTCTAAAATAAATACATTATTCACTTCTCTGTGGGTATAAAATGCATTTTATATCAGACAAGTACAAATTACAACAATATATAGAAAATAACTTGCCTCCCTGTTCTACAGAGAAAGAGTGAATTCCTAACATCATATCCTGAGGATCACATATATCAATTAATTTGACAATTATTTATTGAATATATATATATATATATATATATATATATATATATATATTTGGGAGGTCTGGGACTTTGCTAGGGGCTGATAATTCAGTGGTGATGAAGGTAGATATATTACTGTCTTTTAGTGGAACTCACAATCTAGGGACAATTATAGGCAAAAAAACCCAGAAAATTGTACTACAGTGTAAAACCTGTTTAGATGGGTCAGGAACAGCTTGTCATAAGGACACGAGGAGGGAGACGGAGCACCACATTCAGGGTATCAGTAAAAGCCTCTTAGTGAGAGTAATTTGTAAAATACAACTTGAAAAATGATGAGAACCAGTTAGTCATAGAGGACATAATAGTTATAAGCGAAAGAAATGTCTTTGTGCAAAGATCCAGAGATGAAAGGATGCTATATGACCTCAGATAAGCTATAAGTCATAACTGACCTCAGATATGCTATAAGTCAAAATATTCAAAGAGGAAAGAGGTAGTGAAACTCCTACACTAGAAAAGCAAACCAGAACCCACTGTAATCCAATGCAAAGCAACTTAGCTTTCTAGGAAGGGCAACAGAGAAATCTCTGGACAAACATGTCTGTGTTTCAAAAAGATCACCCTCACTGTGTTTTGAAGAATTAACAAAGGAACAATATTAGAGGTAATAGGAAAACATTTAAACAATATTTGACAAAATCTTTTGAGTAAAATGGTGATAGTTTGAAGTAAGAGAATGAGAATAGGAAGAAAGGAAG